TCGTTTGGTGTTGAAGAGACACTTAAAGTAGTTTAGAACTTTATTTTTCTTTTGGCCGTACTATTAAGGGGGTATGGATGGGTAGTTTGATCTAGGTGAGTCTAGTGGGTTAGGTGTGGTGCACACTTGTCAAATCTAGCACTAGGTAGCTCCTAAATAGCCCTAAGATCAATTGGAGCGAACTTCATTCACATATGATTGCGAGTTGAAAATGAATGGAGGGTCAAATGTTGACCGGACGCTGGTTCCGGTGTGACCGGACGCTGGCGCAGAGTCTGGTCAGTTCATTTGATCAAGGTGAAGTCGTCTGGATGCGACCGGACGCTGAGTGAAATGTGACCGGACGCTAGGTGCCAGAGTTTGATCTACTCTAGTAAGGTTCCAGAGAGGGAGAATCCTGAGCGGACGCCAGCGTCCGGTCGATCTTGACCGATATTTGGTCGAGTTTTTTTAACTCTTGACGCGATGATTTGGAACAAAGTGACCGGACGCTAGGTGCCGAGTCCGATCAACATCGAAGAAAGTTCAGAGGGCGATTTTTGTATTTGGATGCGCAGCGTCCGGTCGATCTTGACCGGAACGCTGGTTAGTGTCCGGTCACAACTTAACTGCTCGGTGACGGAGAGAACTGACCGAAGCGTCCGATCACCTCGCAGTGGCATATAATGGTTCGTTTTGAATGAGGAGTTATAAATACTTCCTCTATTCACTCAAGGAATTATTTTTGCTCATTTCAACAGCTGAGAAACACTCTTGAGAGTGCCAAGAAGAGCAAGGTCCTAGTGAGGTGATTGAGATTTGAGAATCCAAGAGAGAGGCCTCATTAGTGAAATCAAGAGTAGCAAAGTGTGCATCCACCCTTCTCATTAGACTTGTCGTGGTCAAGTGAGAGTTCGTGCTTGTTACTCTTGTTGATCGCCATCACCTAGATGGCTTGGTGGTGATTATGAGCTTGGTGATCATTTGACGAAGCTTGTGGCTGACCCAACTCAAGTTGTGAGCGGTTGTGGGTGATTCACCGCGATGGAGTGTTGAAGAATCAATCCATAGAGAGCACTTGATCCTTGCGCGGATCAAGGGGAGCTACACCCTTGCGCGGGTGCTCCAATGAGGACTAGTAAGGAGTGGCGACTCTCCGATACCTCGGCATAACATCGCCGTGTTCTCCTTCTCTCTTTACTTTGAGCATTTACTTTGAGCAATTCAACTATTGTCTTTTTACATTCATAGAATTATCATTCTAGAGTAGGATTGGAATATAGGCTGCTAAACTTTTTTGCGGTAGAACAATAGAAACACTTTCTAGGCACAAGAGGTGAAGTGGGCTAACCGTAGGGTTTAATTATTGCAAAGAATTTTAGAATTAGCCCAATTCAACCCCCCTCTTGGGCATCCAGATCCTTTCACAGTAAAACATGGATTGTTTCGAGTTCTCCCTTGGGATGGGCTCGACGGAATTGTCCGATGTAGGTAACTTTCAAGGTGCTTAGTGTCTAGTGAAAGACGAGCGCCTCCGAAAGCGTGTTATTTCGGATGGTTCTACCACAGGTGGTATTAGAGCAATAATGAGTCTACGAGTTTAAAAACTCTTTTCAAAACCAAAAATTTAATCAGCAAAAGCTTTACGAAAAGTAGGATGCGATAAATTACGTAAATAAGTATAAGCCCTAGTAATATGGTCTATCTAGGATAGTGGCACTGATTTTATCTCATCAATCTTCTACAGGTACACTAACTTACGCTGCATAAGAATCGTTTAGCGTACGGGAAGTGAGTGTGCGATGTGCCAAAAATTATATACGAACACCGCTATATTCCGGCTTGAGCGAACGAATTGGTTGATCCATGCATCATGAAAAGAGAATCTTGCTTAAACTAAACTCCCCCACACGTATAATTTTTTATAGTAAATTGACAGGATAGTAAATAAAGAGAAATGATTTAACTGTTAAGGAAAAGTTCTCATTTGTAACCATTTATTGGGCCTTATCATCTCTCTAGTCTTTTGTTTATAAATATAGAGGCCTTGTCCCTAATGGTGGGTTCCTATCTGTTTATAGATGAACCTAAGCTCTGGTCGTGGGAGCACCAGTGCTGGGACAGGCCGTGGTCTTGGTGAAGACCAAGGCGAAAACAGTAATGGTGATGATAACGGCAATGCCAACGGGGAGAGCCACGAGGCCCCACTCCTTAGTCCTCCTTTGCCACCACCACCGCCTCCGATGACATATGGGGAGATGATGGCTGAGGTGTTGGCTGCTCGTCGCGAGTCAGCCTGTGCCTTGAAGATGCTGGCACCAGCTATTGGTGGCTTCGCCCGTGGAGGCCCCGGTGGCAATGTCAGAAATGTGGGTGGTGCGCGTGGTCCCGAGAGGCCCTGCTCCTATCAGGACTTTCTGAGGGGACGCCCGCCCATGTTCACGCCGACTGCTGAGCCCCTAGACGTGAAGCATTGGCTTCATATTCTACCACTCCCAGTGTAGGATCAGCAGATATGCGTGGAGTGTATGTAATCTTGATCTTGAGAGCATGATAAGTTTCTCAACAAGGGTCACAAGGTTTGACCAAACTCAACACAAATACAAGTAGTATATGTAGAAGGTTTGCCTAGTCTATATATCATGTATGGCTCTGGTAGGATATTGCTTTACCACAAAGGAGAGATGTAGCTATTCATTTTACTTTTTTAAAAAAATAAAATTCTCCAATAACAAGACATCAAGAATCAAGCTCTCATTATTCTACTATATCTCATTCCACAACAACTTAAGTGACATGGGGTCCCTAATAACAAGTTCCCAACAGTAGCATGACTTCCAGGAAAAGTATTATGTGAGTCTATCCTTAAGTCATGACTAAAATAACCTTTTCTCATATTTTAAGTTGTTTTATCAAGTGATATTCAGTTCGGTTCGAAACGAAAAGCAAAACATATAAAAATAGAGTGTATGGGCTGCAAACCTGATCGTGGACAAAGCTCAGGGCAAGACGGCGTAGTGATGGGCTGAGCGGCCCATAGAGGAGGCCGGGCGTCCCACTCTGGGGTCTGCTCGAGGCCCGCTTCATCATACATGGTTCTTGACTCGTTACTTTTCTGAATTTCATGATTTCCGCGATTAAATTACATCTTGTTGTTGTGGTGTCTCCCCCACACTTATTTCCCCTGTATAACTCTATGCACAACATGTGGAGACAAACACATATCCAAAAGAAATATAGAGCAGGTAATAATACGACTCCATTAACTTCAATAAGGCACTTTATTACACAAGCACAAACTTTTAGCTGGCTAACACAAACTTTCGACTGGTCTAACATCTGAGCTAAGCGACAAACCTAAACACACGATAACACTTAACCTAACACTTGTGCCTTATCAAAATGACTACCTAATTCTCACTTCTTCATTTTAGGAACAAAATGATTCAAAGTGTTTAAATCATGTTGTAGACTCTTGCGGTAGACATATTCCTCGTCGATCCTTTGCTCTAAGGTATAGATAACATCGCTCAGATCTTCAATCTTCTTTTCTAAGAGAACAATGGTCATCCTTAGACGCTTCTCAACCTCTGGAATGGGTGGTGATGTTGCCTTCCTCTTGGGAGGAACAACCTTGATCTGCTCTAGCGTAGCCTGGACTCCATCAATGGTGGTACGAGGGGTGACTGACTTATACTTTGCACAAGTAACATCTCCAAATTTGTTGGTCTTCAGTCCAGTCAGCACCTCATGATCCTTCAGCGAAAAACGGTTGATTTCCTTCACCTTAAAAACTTCTGGGCGTCTAGCTTCGGCTCTTGTCGGAGAGGCTTTCCTTCAAGACGTAGCGACGGCGGCGACGGAGCGATTAGTGGGCGACGAACGGCTTGGGCGTAGTAGGATTGATTTGAGCAAATGGGGGTGACTTCTAGAGGAACGACGGTCAGCGCAAGCGCGTCGGGCTTCTTGTTTAGGTCAGCTCCATAGGTGATAATTTGGTTGTCGGCCATGGGAACTAGAGAGAAGAAGAGCTTTGCTGCTGTTGGAAGGAGAAAGCTTTGATGGGATGGCTATGGAGGCAGGCAGGGGCTCGTTTATATAGGAGGGTTCAACTTTGAAAGCTCTAGTTTGGTTTTGGTGAATTGATGAAACCCTAAGTGCTAACCTAGTTTATCAAAGTGATCATGAGATAGGTAGCACTACTCCAAGTGGTAAAGCAATGGTGATCATGACATGATGATGGTAATGGCATGGTGATGATCAAATGCTTGAACTTGGAAAAAGAAAAAACAAAAACAAAAAGCTCAAGGCAAAAGTGAAACTTGATAGGAGCTTTTTGTTTTAGTGATCGAGACACTTAGTGAGTGTGATCACATTTAGCATCGATAGCCGTACTATTAAGAGGGGTGAAACTCGTATCGAAATACGGTTATCAAAGTGCCACTAGATGCTCTAACTCATTGCATATGCATTTAGGATCTAGTGGAGTGCTAACACCCTTGAAAATATTTGTGAAAATATGCTAACACACATGCACAAAGGTGATACGCATTGTGTTTACCACTTGGGAGCAAGGGTTCGAAACTTCACCGACGAACAATCCGACGGTGCCACCGGCACCCTGTACAGAAAAGACAGGGTCTCACAGAGTGCACCAGACGCTGGCCTCAACTGGACCGGTGCGTCCGGTCAGTGGAAGCAGTGAAGACGCTAGCGTCGGTCTTCGACCGGACGTTGGCTGGCTGCGTCCGGTCCCGCTGACGTGGCAGCACACAGAGAAGACGGTGAGTGACGGGACGCTCTGGAATATATATAATTATTGGCTGCCGACACAGCCTAGACAAAACCTGAAAGGAGAAAAATGTCATGCAAACAATATCTAAAAGACAGACATATAATCCAACTTGACGGGCAGTAAGGCTACACAGCCTAGACAAAACCTGAAAGGAGAAAAATGTCATGCAAACAATATCTAAAAGACAGACATATAATCCAACTTGACGGGCAGTAAGGCTAAGGCACTAGCATTCTGCTCCATCTATTTTGGCTAGAACCTCTAGAAGTTCAACAAAAGTAGAATAAGAACGACGCATGAACTTGTCTATCATGTCAATCAGATTCAACATGGAACTAATCTGGTAAATAAATGATGACTGCGCAAACTAAGAATTTCAAGTTTTTAGAACAATAAAATCTATACCAGGAGTTCTGACTCTCCACCCCAGAAATCAGGCCGCCTTATCCTTTTGGCAGTAGCTACAAAAAATATGAATTGGTTAGCATCTTTCACTCAGTTCATGCTGTCAAAGCAAACTAGGAAATTATAGGAGCCTAACCGATTCAATGATTGCTCCACAGTAATTGCTATAACTGCTTCTTCGTACTCTTGCCGCTCGGTCTCGCTGTCGCATATAATTTCTTTCACTGCCATCCGTAAATCATCTAGGAAAATGGAGATTAATTTTAATTAATTAGAAGAATATCTTATCAACAATAAAATCTAATACAACGAAGATGCAGTAAACATGTGACAGATGGATATTCTCATGTTTATATGCAGGCTAAAGTTGCATGCAGATTTATTTTTTTTAACTTGTTTGGATGAGTAAAGATGTCACAATCGGTTTCCTAAAAAAAAAGAGGCCACAATCTGCAATATATATGTTGTAAGACTGAAACAGTGTCCAAAACTCCAAATCGTGCCAGATATCTGGAATTTGGTGGGCTTACTGTTAGTCTGGTAAATATGTCTAAATCGACATTGATTCTCCAGAAGTTTTTCCAATGATGAAAAGTCATGGTTGTAAGTTGGAAATGCTATATACTGCTAGACCACATAGTTTGTAAAAAACTATTTCCTTCTTAATACAGTGACAAATGGTTCTCCTGCGTGTTCGAGGAAAAAAACTTGATATAAGAATCTGTTCTTCAAGTCAAAGATAAGAACTGAAATTGAAGCTCTCAGTTGGCATCATAGATGGATATATGATGCTCAAATCTCATAAGAATAAATGACACTCATTCATGTTTCTTTTTAATCAAGAAGGGTACTAACTTTCGATGTTCTATTTCTGTCTTGTGAACAAGTTATGTGGTTGTTAAAGTGGGCGTGCTATCTTAGTATCTTATAACATGATTGTAAACTCAGGTTTCTTTAATTTAAACAAAAGGGCCAACAATCTCCATTTACTTTTTTTCAGAAAGTAAATGTTATTACATGTCAAGCTATTTCAATATCAACTTATCAAGTGCAAAAAATTTAACAAGCCATGAGGCCAAAAGTAAACAGAAACAAAAAGCCAACTATGCCGAAATTGATCTATGTACGAGGCACTGTTTCAGGCTACCTGCATCTTGTACCTCCTCCCTTGGGGCCAAAGGAATCCCCTTGTTTTTTGCGATTCCTTTAGCCTACAAGCAACACACCAGGTTTCCCTTTGATATGAATGTGCAGATGTGCCAAAAACGCACTTGAAGAGGCGTTGTTCTAACTAAAACTCGAAAGATAACGAATAGAATACTAAAGGTGCGGTGTTCTAGTAGAATACTAAAGGTGCACGATCCATCAGAACGCACAGAAGGAGACTCTGCTGCAAATTACCAACGCTCGAAACATGCAACGGCCGTCGCCGGTGACCCTCTGAACCCCGTAATGCTCCACCTTGTTCAGCGCCGCCGACCACCCACCCCTCCTGCGCCGAGAAGGTCAGAACAAACAAGGTTTTGCAGCTTCACTCTGTTTCCCCACCATTCCTCTAATCGATTCAGGTATGCAGAGAGAGTCGAGTGAGAGATGACGCAGACGTACAGCGAGGGGGCAACCCTGGCGAAGCAGTGGAGTCGGGGCCAGACCGGGGGCGCGTGCGCAAGCGCAGAGTCGTCGAGGAGCTCGAACTTGGCCGTGCCGTCCCGGAGGCGCGCGAGAAGAGTGGCTACCACGACCAGCACCGAGTCAAAGTTACGCGCGGGAATCGGAAAACCATACGGATGGATACCGCCGAGATGAGGAGAGGGGAGTACAGCGTTGAAGGGCGGAGAGTAGAGGCACCAACCATTGGATGGCCTCGCCGCTGCCGCCATTCGGCTGCAGTCTGCTCGCACTCCTTCCTTCGGAACCAGCAGCGGAAGGTTGAAGAAGGGGCAAAGCGGACAAGGTGCGGCCTATTTTCCTTTTCGGATAATGGCCGCCGCCGCTCGGGTGAGGAAGGCAACGGGCCATGGGCCGTCTTTCGGATGCTGGGCTTTCGGCCTAGACGACGGCAGCCATCTGAATTTTTTTCCTTTTTTGATAGAGTTGAGTTGAGTTGAGAGTTGAGACGGATGGAGTAGCGACGGTAATTCTTCCATCCGAGCGTCCGACTCTTTACTTAGGATCGGACGGATGTGGACGTGGGACCATGTGACACAACCTTTGTATAATATATCCCGTCAATTCGTTCATCGTTCACTCCATAATATCCAGTCAATTCATCCATCTCCCACTCCACCACCTGTCGCTGCTCCCGTGTCCGCACCCGCTGCTCTTGCCGCTGCTCCGCGTGCTCGCCCTGCTGCTCCTGCCGTTGCTCCTGCTCTGCCCGACGACGCCGACAGGTGCCGCCAGTGCAAGGAGAAGCGCTAGGCCTTGGCGTGAAAGCCCTTCAGCCTCGCCTCTTGCTATGGCTACAGCGCCCCGATGCAGACGGCGGAGGAGACCGCACCGGGATATGATACATGTTGCAAGTGTATATTTGAAATGTTTTAAATGTTTAGATATATGTTTTACACACGGATGTTGCAAAACCAGATCGAGATGTTGCATATGTTGCAATGATTGTACACGTATGTTGCAAACGTATGTCCCCAATATTTCATTTGTTTGTTCAGACGTATGTTGCATGCATGTTTATCTGGACGTTGCATATGTTTCACATATGTTGCAAGTGTTTATCTGGATGTTGCGTGTGTTTGCAATGGTTTTAATTGTTTTTGCAAGTGTTTCATATGCATGTTTTGAATGTTTCACCAAGGTTTTACCTGTGTATCATTAAAAAAGATGGTCCCTACCTACAGGCCACTAAAAAGTTTGGACGTACCCTGGTGCCATTCACCTAAGCTTTTTTATCGCACATACCATTCCGTCCATGATCTGTTAGGTTTTCACCTACCATGTGGGCCCAGCCAATAACAATGTCCAAAATATCTTTCTCTCACAACCCTGTCCTCTCACTTCTTTTTCTCTGCCCGATGAGGCTAAGCTGTAAGTGACCCGGGCACCTTCTTCTTCCAACCTTTCACACAAGCCCGATGCTGTCGCGCGTAGCTCGCCGCCGGCCGCGTGTGGCTCCTCGGCTCCAGCCCTGCCCCTGCGCGCTCCGCCATCAGAATTCGCTGCCTGCGCAGACCTCGCCTAGCTCCGCCGCTGAAAGCTCTAGTTTGGTTTTGGTGAATTAAAGAAACCCTTAGTGCTGACCTAGTTTATCAAAGTGATCGTGAGATAGGTAGCACATTCCAAGTGGTGAAGAAAATGAAGATCATGACATGATGATGGTGATGCCATGGTGATGATCAAGTGCTTGAACTTGAAAAGAAGAAAGAGAAAAAACAAAAGGCTCAAGGCAAAAGTATAAGTGGTAGGAGCCATTTTATTTCAGTGATCAAGACACTTAGCGAGTGTGATCACATTTTGGTTCGATAGCCGTACTATTAAGAGGTGTAAAACTCGTATCAAAATACGGTTATCAAAGTGTCACTAGATGCTCTAACTCATTGCATATGCATTTTATTATCTAGTGGAGTGCTAACACCCTTGATTTTTTTGTGAAAATATGTTAACACACATGCACAGAGGTGATACACATTGTGTTTAGCAATTAGGAGCAAGGGTTCGAAACTTTACCGACGGACAGTCCAACGGTGCCACCGACGCCCTATACAGAAAAGATAGGATCTCACAGAGTGCACCGGATGCTGGCCTCAACTGGACCGGTGTGTTCGGTCAGTGGAAGCAGTGAAGACACTAGCGACGGTCTTCAACCGAACGCTGGGTCACTTCGTGATCGGACGCTGGCTGGTTACGTCTGGTCCCACTGACATGGCAGCACACAGAGAAGACGGTGAGTGACGAGACGCTAGGTGAGTCCGGTCAGGCGTGACCGGACGCGTCTGGTCATGAATTTCCACCTCTGGAAGTGACCGGACATTGGAGTCCTGCGTCCAGTCGTGATCAACCGGACGCATTCGGTCGCGAGTGGAACATTACTGGAAACGATCGGACGCTGGTGTTGGTGCGTCCAGTCACTTCGAGTAGCGCGTCCAGTCACAATTTAAATGCACTAATGACTGTTGAGATCGGGTGATCGACATTTTAAGTAGGGGACATGTGGCGTGCATCTCGCGACCAAACGCTGGGGTCCTACGTCCGATCGATCTGACCGGCGCATCCGGTCGCCCCGATTTCTCAGTGAACAGAGAGCCAACGACTCTATTCATGGGTGCTCTCTATTTAAGCCCCATTGCTGGCTCTAGCTTACCCTCTTGGCCATTTCTATTAACATAGCAACCTTGTGAGCTTAGCCAAAGCCCTCCCACTCATCTCCATTATTGATTCATCATCTTTGTGAGATTGGGAGAAAATCCAAGTGCATTGCTTGAGTGTTTGCATCTAGAGGCACTTGGTGTTCGTGTTTCGCTGCGGGATTCGCTTGTTACTCTTGGTGGTTGCCGCCACCTAGACGGCTTGGAGCAGCGGTGGAGGATTGGCATGAAATGGTAATTGTTTGTGGCCATCTCCCGGTGATTGTGAGGGGTCTTATGCCTTACTCGGTGGAGCACCGAAAGGTAACTCTAGTGGATTGCTCGTGTCATTGAGTTACCTCACTTGTGGGTAGGTTCTTGTGGTGTCCAATTGTGTGGACGAGGTTCGTGCAACACCTCTTAGCCTCGAACCACCAAGTGTTGGTCGACACAATGGGGACTAGCGTGCCGACAAGCACGTGAACCTCGGGAGAAAAATTGGTTGTCTCTTGCCCTTTGGTATTCTCCCGTGATTGAGTTAGTATTCATCTTGTGACTAGTTCACTCCTCTACGCGGTAGTATAATCACCTCACTTACTCATTTATATTTCTGCAACCTAGTTGTAGCAAGCTCTTTAGTGTAACTAGAATTGAGAGCTTGCTTTGTAGCTTAAGTTCATCTAGTAGAGCTCTTTAGTGTAGCAAGTGTAAGAGCTCTTAGTGAGTAGTGACTTAGTGAATTGTGTGTCTAGTGATCGTAGTAATTAGAATTGTTGGATAGGTGGTTTGCAAACCTTGTAGAGCTAGAGCAAGTTTGCTTTTCGCTATTTGTCATATTAATTAAATTACTCTAGTTGGTTTGTAGATTTTTAAATAGGCTATCCCCCCTCTAGCCATATTAGGACCTTTCAAACTTACAACAGGCATCAAGATCTATCCATATGAGGTATCATAACGAGAAAAAACAGAATGCGTCAAAAAACTACGGGATTATGAAGAGGAAGGATCTAGAAGACACGAGAGAGTTGACGAGACGCGAGAGGCGCTGATAGTGGGCCGGGTGGCCTCTAGGTGGGGCCGGCCAGCCCCACATGTCAGGGTCTTAGAGTGATTTTTCTCGCGGTGGTTTCTAACTCCTATCTAATCCTGAAAATTATATTTTCGCGTTACGAAATGTTACGGAGGATGGTAGTGGTGTAATCTATGGTAAAATCAGAAAATCTACCTCATCCAAATCCTCAGATGGTTTTTCAGGTTCTAGAAAGATCTTGAGACGGTGGCCATTTACCTTAAATAATGTACCTTTGTCGTTTTGAAGTGTTACCGCTCCATGCGATGAAGTGCTTATTACCTTGATGGTCCTTCCTATTTGCTCCAAAGTTTTTGTGCCCGAATAATTTAACCCTGGAATTAAAAAGTAATACCTTATCTTCGGGGGCGAACTCCTTCTTCTTGATCCTCTTATCATGCCATCTCTTCGTTCTCTCCTTATATATCTTGGTGTTATGATATGCTTTTTCACACCATTCATCCAACTCAGAGAGTTGCATCTTCCTCTTTGTTTATGCGGCTTCAAAGTCCATATTCCATCGCTTGATGGCTCAGTAAGCTTTGAATCCTAGCTCCATAGGTAGATGACAGGTCTTCCCGTAGACCAGTTGATATGGTGACATCCCCAATGGTGTTTTATAGGCCGTTCTATAGGCCCATAGTGCATCGGGTAGTCTATCCTTCCATGTAGTTCCCATCTCGTTGACTGTCTTTTGTAAAATGTTCTTGATCTGTTTATTTGATGTTTTTGCTTGGCCAATTGTCTGAGGGTGATACAGAGTAGCAACATTATGATGGATTCCATGTCTTGACAAGTAGTTGTTAAAGTTCTTGTCAGTGAAGTGAGTTCCTCCATCACTAATCACCATCCTTGGAACTCCAAATCTTGGAAATATTATTTCTTCAAACATCTTCTTAGAGTTCTTTGCATCAGCAGCTCTACATGGCATGGCTTCAACCCACTTGGAGACATAGTCAACTGCCACCAAGATGTATTCATAGCCATTTTATTTTGGAAACGGTCCCATGTAGTTGATTCCCCATACATCGAAGAGCTCTATCTGGAGGTTGTTGGTAAGTGGCATGTTATTTCTTGAATTGATATTCCTGTGCCTCTGACACGTTCCACATCTCCTGATGAAGTCCTTCGTGTCTTCATACATGGTTGGCCAAAAGAATCCACTTTATCAAACCTTCGAATGAGTGCGGAATATGCCATAATGTCCTCCATATGGTGATGAGTGGCATCGTTTGATAATCTTGATGCCTTCCTCTACTGGTATACATCTTCTGCGTAGGCCATCAGAGCAGACTCTGAAGAGGTACGGTTCATCCCATATGTGAAGACGACTTTCATAGATGAGCTTCCTTTTATTTTCCCCTGGCGGTATATAACCTGCAACCATAAAATTAACAATATTTGCGTACTAGGAGTCAGATTTTGTGACCTTGAAGAGCATGTCGTCCCTCAGTAAATCATTGATGGGCAGTCCCTGCGAATTCTCAAACTGCATTCTAGATAAGTGATCGGCAAC